CAATGAAAGGGGGGACGAAATAAAGAAAGAGAAGGGAGAGCACAAAGATCAAATTTGTCCAGAACACAAATAAAGAGACACCTGCCCGTCCAGCATTAGGCGTCTTTTGACGCAGCAGCGCGATCTGTTTTGCATGATAAATGATGTGTGTTGTGTTGTAGATGCTGAAGCAGGTGCATGGCCTCTGGATCTACATCACTCACACCGGATTTCCCAGCATCAGTGCATTTGTTTTTAATATTAACAATGCCAGGGGAAATGAACATGGCGTGATCGCAGCGAGAGTCACGGGGAAATGATGGCGTCTGAAACTCTGAGCAGCTTATTGCGGAGCAGGAATAGAGAAAGTAATGAATACAGACACAGACTGACTGAGACCATTTTTCCCCTCGGAAAGCCAATATTATGTGTTTATGGAAAATAGTGCAGTGACTGAACTCAGTATAGACAGAATAATGATGTGGGTCAAATCATATTCCCGGTGAAAGTGGAGTGAAGAGATGTATTAGAACTAGATAAGAGCAGTTATCAGAGCTGATTTTATTTCTGTACACTGTAAAAAAAATTACAGTGAATTTAACGGTAAAAGACTGTAAAAATGCTACAGTAAAAACCTGTTAAATGGTTAATGGTAAATTCCCCTACTATATACGGTGAAAAACTGTATTGGACATTACATGTAATTTTACAGTAGTATACAGTTTTTGGAAGTAAAAAAGACCAGTGAATAACCTTAAATTGACATTCCCAGAATTCCCTGCGTTACATTTTAAATTTGATGTTTTTTTGTTGAAATAACTATGTTTCTTCTTAGTTTTTTCTTATCAGTTTTGTATATTAGGGTTGTGTGTTACACCTAATGTTGTTAAATGAATGTTTATTGCATTATTTCAGTTTCATGTGTGTTACCATGATGGTGTTTGGTGTTTGTGTGAATGACACTGTGCACCTTCTATATATGTTATTATTTAAAAGCTGCTTGTGATGGGCTTTGGTTCATCATATGACTTTCTCATCACCACCTGCATTTGGTGGTTATCAGTGTATTACAAAGGTACAAAACAGATTTCAGTACTTCAATAGGATGGTATATTAACATTATATCAGCTAATGAAATTACGGTATTTAACTGTAAATTTAAGTTAAAACCGTAAAACCTAAAATGTTGCTGCCGGTTTTTTACCGTAAATTTTACGGATTTTTTTTCAAGTGTAGCTTTCATCTGGAAACAGTAAACTACAGGAAAACAGCAGAGGCAGTCATGCATTTATACCACGACTCTACATGACCAACAACAAATACAATACCATTGTGCGGTCAGTGACATAACACAATGCATGTGTGTGTTTGTTTAGTTAGTTAGTTAGTCTTGAACTATAACATAATTAAATATATATATTACAAATGCAGTGTTTTCAATTTCTTTCATTTTATATTTTCAGTCAAGAAAAAAAGGAGTGTAGGGTAAATGTCTCATTGAAAGGCTGAAATTCTTAACAAATAATGAGTATTTCGGCACATTCTTTATGAATTTTAAGATTACTTCTTAAAATCGTGCATGGTTTCGTGGTGGAATAAAAAATCCCAAATCACTTTTTATGTGAAGGTTACTTATCTTGTAAAACCTTTGTGAAAAAGAAGTGTGCTGAACTGTACTGAATGTGCACTTGTAGTGCATTCACATCTTTAAAGTATATTTTAAACTGCTTGCAGACAAGAAAATATTAATGGGGGGGGGGTTGGGGGAGACCACATAAGTGTACTTCACCCAAAAATGGAAATGCAGTCATCATTTATTCACTCTCATGTCTTTCCCAACCTGTATGACTTTATTCCTTCAAAATATTTTGTTTTTGCTTTTTGCAGAAGAGCATACATAATGACGTACTTAACAACATTGTCAAAAAAGCACTCTAAAGTTCAGCTAATTGCATTTAATATAAATTTAAACTAATACATTTATATTTAATTGCAATTAACATGCAACTCATGCAAACATTACATTCAGTTTGCCCTCAAGTATATTTGTTTGAAGTATATTATTTGCGTAACAAGTACGCTGAAGTGTACTTCTTTTTCCCAAGGGATTTCGAGTCATTAAATGCTTTTGTTTACAATGGTGCAAAGGCTTTTCATATGTATGAAATCAGCATCAACACAAAGATTAGATTTGTAAAACCTTGGCATATAACTCGATTTCTCTTTGGCCTGTAAACACTCGTAGTGTGTGCTCATTTGAGACGGGAGTCTGAGTACAGTACAGACACCTGACAAACAGTGACCTGAGTCTGTTCCAGCTCAGAAAGTCTTCACTGGCTCTCAGTGACAGAAGAGTGCTGTGATGAATAGAGCGGTCAGCTCTCGCTGGGAGCCAGAGGCTCCATACATCAGCGTGGAGAGCTGACTGATGACCAATCAAAACGGTCATTAGTGTTTTTGAAATTAAGATGAGGTTGTCTGGGGCGGTAACCTGATTACCAAGCATCCAGGGGTTCGTTATTAAATGATTAACCAACCATTACAGCAACTCAGGTGAAGGAGCTTATCATTTGTTGAATGAAGGACGGGAGAAGAAAGCCTTCGGCTGCAAGTGTGAGACAAAGAGATCTGCTTATATTATGGTTACATTTACATACAGCATCCTTGGTTTGTGACTGATGGAATCATGAAGAATCACTTTAAATGTGTTTATTAACGCATGTAAATAAGCATATGCTGATTTATAGTATAGCTGCTGTTGGTGTTGCTCCATCACTCATGGAGTGTGAAGAAACCTGAAATCTGCTGTCAAGCCAATATCAACCACTAGGAGGCAGACGGTGTCACTCTTTTGCTCCAGTGTACAGGATCGTATTGATGAAATATCAACCACAATATTACAGCATTGCATTTTGCCTATTTCAATAATAGGTAAAGCACATTCACATGGTTTAGCACTGATGACTGCATTTATCCTGCAGGTACATGAAGGAAAGAATGAGATCTGGATGTGCTCTTCTCTTTAACCCAAGCTGTATTGCATTTACACATTTGTAACATGATCAACAGTTTACTGTCAATTTTGAAATTATGTATTGCTGATATAGAACTGAGTGTGAGAGTGAAAGTTATTTTATAATGGTGTGCAGTGGCTCTTGTAACACATCCGAGTGACACACACACACTTAATGAAGTCTGCTTTTATCAGCTGTTATTGCTGTAAGTGTGATTATGTGACTGTCATCATGCGGCGCATGCTCTCCAGCAACTACCAGAAGGTGACCTTTCGCTGAATGTAACCATAGAAACGGAATGAGAAAGGCAGCTTGTCCACACACAGATAAAGCAGGAGAGAGAGAGATTGCTTCTGTGCAGACAAAAAAAAAAACCCCACCAGTGAATATAAATTGAGGAAATGATTCCAGATCCGTATGATGTACGGTTAAATAGTTCCTTATTTACAGATGCAGGAAAGATACACAGTGACTAATCTTCGGCTGCATGCTGGGAAGGGTGTGCATACACTGTAATCAGACCCTTTGCCAGGTGCTCGTTCACAGTTAAACACTGCAATATAATGAGATGGAAAGCAGAACCACAGAAATCACCATGTGAGACAAATCGTGCACTGGCTCACCTTTTTATTATAAGCAGAAATCAGTATGTTTATAACAAATCAAAGGTCTGCTTTAATGCAGCTCAAAATATATAAAAGTCAGAACAGCTGTAAAACGCTGGACTCTTATTCCAGGAATCCGTTGTGTCGTTTACGACGCAGCAGCTTCACTGGAGCAACAGATCGTTAAGTGGTTGCTATAGAGGCTGCCATGATAAAAACATTACAAGTCTGTAGCGAGTCAATGGCTCGTGCACGACCGGCAAACACGCTCTGACAGTACACATGCCATGAAATTGGAAATATCTGGTGCATAACCCCATTTCAGACTGCAAAATTAACTGGATGCCAAAAAATATTCATGTAAAATGTCACTGTATATGTTTGATGATGATTTGGTTGTCAGTAAATCACTTTTAATAAATGCATCTGCTAAATGAATAAATGCACATGTCAAATTCAGCGCAGCTCATACATAACAGATGAATCCTCGCATGGGAGTGTGTGTTGTGCTGTTCTCAGATCGGCTGGTGTCAGCAGCTCACTGTCTCTCTGACTGAGCACAAATGCAGCTCTGCTGTTCAGTAGCAAACAATGCAATTCTCAGCAGGTGCTTGTTATATTTGCATTATGCATTTAGCCAACGCTTTTATCCAAAGCGCTTTGGGTGTACAGCAATGCACAATAAAGCGCTACATAAAATGCCTCATTGATAGAGTAGAGGAGAAATGCAGAGAGGACGAAGCATTGCATCGGTTCAGGGTTGTGGAGTGGTCATGTGCTGCTTCTTGGAAGCTGTGATGATTTCAGCAGTTCAGGTGGAGGCTGGCAGCTCATTCCACCAGAGAGGAGCAGAGAAGGTGAAGGCTCTGGAAAACGACTTGTGGCCTCATGGTGAAGGAACAAGGCGCCGCTCGTTCAGTGACTGGCCATGCATAAAATGACACAAAAGCCGTTCTTGGATTATGGAACAATAATCTGTTTAACTAGCATTGGAGGGATAAGAGATGAGGACTGGGGAAGTTGGTTAGTAACGACTGCTCTATAAAAATGCATCACATTATATGAGCAAACAATGCTGAAAAGAAGAGAAATTGCACACACAAACTTCTTGCTCAACCTGAGACTGAGAGCAGTGTGAAACCTGGCATTTGATTGAAACGAAGACTATTGATTAGTCATTATTAAGATGGCTTTTAGCCTAAAGCTCACCATAAACACCCAGCGCTCGGGATGTAAATAATTCACTATAGTTTTACGGCTGGAACAGAAACCAGTCTGTGGGAAGACTGCAGTTAAGTAGCCTAAAAGAAAATGAATCAGCCAGCTCTCATTTACATTGTTAATTAGAGAATATTGATCAAGAGCCGGTGCTGTTATCAGTGTAGATTGCACAGTTCTAGACTAAGAGCCATTTATCAGTCGAACTCTATTTTTCACAAGAGGCTGTGGTTAATGTTGATTAACGTGTATGAAACTTTAAGCACGAATAACAGACACAAGGAGATTTTTGTAATATGATGATTCACACAAAACGCTTTGTCAAGCATGTGGTGTTGTTGAACATTACTCAGTAATCTGAGATCGAGAGAAGGCACCGCAGGTATTATTTTCATGATTTTTATCACCAGCATTGGTTAACATTTTAAAATGCCATTTTTTTTTTTATGTGACATTTTGCTCATATACAACAAATGCTTCCCAGAGATCCCTTATGTTAGAGTTTGCTTCTTAAATAATATTGTTGGAAAATGTTAGTCAGAAAATGCATAATCAATTACATGCACATGTTTTATTATTGCATAAACAACCTCTGCAAACGGAAACCACTCAGTTGTTGATTGCATTATAACAAAAATAACATTTTCAAAACCACAAAACAAAAATAATCGAGTTCTTCTGGATGTTTAATAGGACTGACCGAGAGCAGTCTGCCGTCCATGAAACATCGGTGCTACAGTATTCAGACGAGCACAGCTGAACATATAAGAAAGGACAGCGCATTTGGTAATTGGCATTGGAAGCTCATTAAAAAGCATCACACTCGTCTCCAGGTGACTCAGAGAAGCATCTGATCTGGGCTGAGGATGTGGCGCATGCGCAGCGCGTCGTCGGCTGTGCGGAGTGAAGAAGAGCAGCTCCAGCTCGGTGATGACAGGTATTCACTTTTATTCATTTATGCTCCAAACACTGATCTATCGACGCCTCTCGATGGCACTGCGGTAGCTCTCATAGGGACATCATCGGTGTTGCTCTATCTGCCACGAAGGACGCATTTGATGGGTAACCCTGTGACTGCTGGATGAATCTGCTTATGCATCGATCATCAAATGGTTAAAATGCTGCGTTGTGCCCTGTTGTTAAATAAGAACGACGCTGTATGTTTTTAAACGCATCGGACATCCCGTCATATAATTGCTCATCTCTAATGAGAGGAGAGGAGAGGACAGAGTGTCTCATCAGATGACATGGAGACCTCGCGATGACGTCACAGATAGAATCTCAGCGCAAATCCTTCAGCTTCATGCGATATTCACAAATGCATGTCAGTTATTATCATTTGTAACTGATAATACCATTCGTAATGAAACAAACGTGTTTTAAATGGCTTATTATTATTATTTTTATTTTTATGTGGGCATATGTATCCATAAAAGAAGGGATACAGGTTTGAAACGTTATGAGGGTGAGTAAATGATGACCTAACGTTTTATTTATTTTATTATTATTATTATTATGACTCGTCATGCTTGTCATGTGACACAGCAACCACAATAGCACTGTATAACTGATATAGGCTTATGTTTTATTTTATTTCCCCCCCCCTTTTTATTCGAAATATTTCCTAACGTGTTAACTAGCTATATCAGGAAATATCTCGATTCTCAAACGTGTAAGTAAATATGTTTTGCACCAGATTGCTATTTGATCTATAATGGGTGACAAAGTAGAGTAATAGTGTAATCTATTAACTACACATAAAAACCCGACTTTTTACTTAAGTAGGCCTACCAGATATGGGTGTCATGCCATAAAATGTTTTTAATACGACTGACTTTGTATTTAATGTGAATTTAATAACAATATTGTAAGTTACTATATCTTCATTTTACAGAGATTTTTCAGGCACTCTCACAAACTCCCATTAAAATCACTGAAGCTGTTTACACTGTGAAATGAATATCTTACGTTCCTACGCACATCTGCACAGTCAGCGAGCGAGTGAACAAAACACCGCGTTCAGCGATGACTCATCTGAACGTCTCTGATTGGCCCTTGCATTCGTAAGCTCAACAGAATCGTGTGTGATTGGTTATAATGCAGCGCTGTACAAACGTCTGTCTCTGGCTCAGCGCCAGCCAAAGCCCGAACGCAGATTTGAATTTAAGCAGCTGATGCTGTGCCGCACTGAACGATCTAATCACACCGGTGTGATTGTATCAAATATAAAACAATATTATTCAGCTATTTTTTGTCTTTTGGAAGCTGCATTTAAAATCCACTTGGCTCAGAAATCTGAGGGGTACGTGCCCCCTCACTTTGAATGGGCATGATGCCTCTGTGAGTAAGTCATTCATTCATTCATTCATTCATTCATTCATTCGATTCGTTCAAAACGTGGATTAATTCAGAATCGATTCACCGCTGTGTGCTGCTCGGAGACACACAAAACAGTGGCTTTATAGTTAGCCTAATATTTTCGTTGGCAAAATTGATCAAAAACAAACAATAACACAATATGAACTTCTCATTTACTGAACTGCTAATTTAAAATAACATTTGCACTCGTGTTATTCTGGACAAAAACAGCACTCGTGTGATATCGCTTATCATATGATATAAATATGAGACAACAACTCTTAAATATTAAATTGTAAGGGCATATAACTGCACTTTATAGGCTATGTCACACAATGAGCTGTTGCCCTGCATCAATTTATATATAAATCAGCATATACAGTGGGTACGGAAAGTATTCAGACCCCCTTAAATTTTTCACTCTTTGTTATATTGCAGCCATTTGCTAAAATCATTTAAGTTAATTTTTTTTCCTCATTAATGTACACACAGCACCCCATATTGACAGAAAAACACAGAATTGTTGACATTTTTGCAGATTAATTAAAAAAGAAAAACTGAAATATCACACGGTCCTAAGTATTCAGACCCTTTGCTCAATATTTAGTAGAAGCACCCTTTTGATCCAATACAGCCATGAGTCTTTTTGGGAAAGATCCAACAAGTTTTTCACACCTGGATTTGGCGATCCTCTGTGTGTGTGTGTGTGTGAGGGTGTGTGTGTGTGTGTGTGTGTGTGTGCGTGAGTACAGTTTCTTATCCTGAAGTAAAAATCCAATTACTTTTCTAAATAAAGGAATTCATTTTTTATGATAACTTATAAACTGTTAAAGACAGACCTACTTACTAGGTTATTAATCAATGAAATCTGCTTTGTTTAAGCTATCTGCTTGCATTATTTCCTTTTATTTTTAATATTTTCAATAATTGTGTTTAGCAGCAGAACTCCAAATGAGAAACTATATTACTCGTGATTCTGTAATCTCCATCAATCAGAGAATCATATCGAGAATCGAAATCAGGAAATCATGTCATAAGAGCTCTTTAGCTCCGCCCTCTCTCATGTAGCACTATAAATGACGTAAGGTGCATCCAGAATCACATACTGTTTGAGTAAGTAGAACTACATTTGAATTTCAACTTACTTTGCGACTGTTAAAAAAAGGTATGTTCTTTATAGCATGAATATGAGTATGAATGAATGTTGCCACGGTCATGTGATGCGTGTCAGTTGCGTGGCCTCATGGGATAGTAAAGTGACGACTGAATGCACAGTATCTCGCTGGAAGTAGTCGGTCATCCGGGTACATTTTGCCTACTGTTTTTCATGTACTATGCATTGAGACATACTGTACTACTCACCTCATACTGTTTTTTGCATACTGTACAGTAGGGAGGTTTTCGATTTCAGACGCAGTGTCATTTCCCCTACATTCTCAAACTATCCAAATATTTGTATTTGTTTGCATATTTTGCAATAAATACAAAATATATTGTTTATATAGATATAATCGACATCTTTAAATCTGTAGTTTTGTATGATTTTATATTTCTCCATTCTCGTTCACAGTGTTTAATGGGATTGTAGTTCTTTCCCTCACTAAACTTTTGTATCTTTTTCTTTTTGTCTGCTTTTCTAATTCTTTTTCTGCTTCAAATCAGAGTCCGTAATGTTGTGATTCTCCTTATAGCTGGTTGGGTTGGTGCATTGCTTATAATTAGACTTTTTAAAAATTCCTATGTGAAACATGCTTCCGGAATGTTAAGCAATGGCACTGAAATTCTACTGAGGATGGGTAAATGTGTTGTTCTGTATCTCTGCATGACACCACTTTAATTACAAATAAACAAGCTGACGTCGTGTGAAGGAAGGGAGGCTCACTGATGTGCTGAAGGACGGCTGAGTCACGAGCTTCATCCGTGATTGCATTACAGACTCATTCCCCTCCTGCTCTCATCATGCACAGATGCTCATATCTGAAGCCCAGCAGCAGCGTTTGAACACGTCCAGCAGTCATCAGATCTGCTGTAAAGCTGGAGTCTGTCGCTTTGTTCAATGTTAAAATACGATCTCCTATTCCAGATTAATATGCAGAGTCACCGTTTATAGGTCAACTTTCAGAAAGCTGATTCTAGGTTTCAGGAGAGACTATATGTGCATCAAATGGGGAGGAAATATCTTTAAAATTCTGCAGAAGCAAAGTGGCACAAACTTCAGCTTCAACCAAAGGACAATCATTACTATTCAGATTAGTTTATTAAAACTGCTTGGTCAAAATCTTGTAACTAGAATGCTGTTTCTTTAGGTTATTAGTTGCCTGACTGTGTATTTGAGCAGATGTATGTGTGCTAAATGTAAAATGGGCCTGAAATTAACACATGTCAAGTGCCAAATGAAACAGAATATTACAGTGTATTAATATGAAATACTTCACAGGTTAATAGTGCTATAATAATATTATGCACATAGAGTTTCATGGCTGGTAAACTGAAGTGAAATTGGAACTCAATGTCGATGTTGTGTTTGTGTGCAGATGTGAAGCATGACGTCCTGCTCAGAGATCTGTGGCTCGGATTACACTGAGCAGAGCCATGGCGCCCTCAGCAGCGGTTACCAGGGTTACGGGGTGCGTTCCTACCTGCATCAGTTCTACGAGGAGTGCACCGCTTCCATCTGGGAGCGCGATGAAGATTTCCAGACACCGAGATTGCCGAGCCGCTGGAGCTCTGTGCTCTGGAAGGTGAGCTGCGTTCTGCTGTTTTGAAGGGATGTGAAGCATGACGTCCTGCTCAGAGATCTGTGGCTCGGATTACACTGAGCAGAGCCATGGCGCCCTCAGCAGCGGTTACCAGGGTTACGGGGTGCGTTCCTACCTGCATCAGTTCTACGAGGAGTGCACCGCTTCCATCTGGGAGCGCGATGAAGATTTCCAGACACAGAGATCGCCGAGCCGCTGGAGCTCTGTGCTCTGGAAGGTGAGCTGCGTTCTGCTGTTTTTATGTTTGCATGAATGCATGCTATTTTATGTGATTTGTATTATTTTTAAATTACTATTTATTTATTTTATTTCCGTTTTAGTTCATTTTAGTGATTTAACTTTTAAGGCAACATTTCTAATTTTAATTTAGTTTGTTTTCATCTAATATTTATAATTTATCTAAGCTTAATTTCAATGAACAAAATTTTTTTAATAGTTTTAGTTGATAATAATAGCCCTGAAGTGATCTCATGTAGTACTCCTGACTGTCAGAATAAAATGTGGTTTATTCTGCAGCTTATTCATGACCACGATCAGACACTTTGAGTCTGTCTGACCGATATATAAAACAACCAATCACCGTTCATTTTCAGCCAATCACAAAGCTGCTCCCTCTTCAAAAACACTGGGTTAACTGTATTACTTTTATTTTCAATTGCTATTTTGTCTTCCAACAACATTTTCCAATGAAAACAAGAAAATCTTGATAGAAAGATCATTGTATTGCAATGATTCTTGTTTTGTCTTGTGTTCATTTATAGTGAACTTTCACACCTTAAAAAAACCTCTGAGTAATAATCATGATCCCAATATTGACCAAAATAATCATGATTATCTTACCTGCAAACTATGCCATTGACATGCAAATCCAACTTGTTTTGAGGGGTTTATGAATGTGTATCAGGGCTCGCAAACTTTCAAAATCGCTGGTAGCCCTTCGGGCAGACATTCTTCAGATTTTGGTAGCCCAAAATTAATTTAAGTAGCCCGAATAAATAAAAAAAAGACACTGGCTGAACTCCACTGGGGACAAATCAGCATGATTAAAAACTTCTGTGATTGCTTTTTTTCTTCAAATAACAAGTCAAGAGAGGAGCGGTGCAACGGATCACAAAACCCACGGCTCGGATCATATTGCATTATCATATCAGATTTTGAGTAACAGATCGGATCATTTTGCAGATGAGCAAAAAAATATGGTTCTTTATTATTTAAATAGCAGAATACTTCTTTGATACCACAGCACAAACTAGTAGCCTATAGGGATGTAACGATTCACTCAACTCACGATGCGATGTGCTTCACGATACTGATTTCACAAGACAATTTCTCACAATTTTTATTATAAATGAGAAGGTGTCCTTTTATTATTTCCCCAACAAAATGCAGCACATTTCTTTGTGAAATTGAAATATGTCAAATGATAAAACTAACTTGAAATTGTTAAACAAATCCCAAATCAAATAATTAAATAATACAAATAAAATAAATATCTTTATATAAACAAACTAATGCTTTGGCTGTGCTTTTTCCATTTAAAATTAGAGGCAACCACTGCATTTTAATCATGATCCAAACAAAGATGCAAAATACATGTTATTTAGATTGCAATTAGATTGCATAATTTCGAAATTTGAAGCAAAAGCAGAATGGTCTTATTTTAGCTTTATGAATGAGACGCAAATGCCACTCTCTGACAGCAGGTGGCGCTTATGGAACAGCAGGTATTTATAGGCTGCTGCCCCTTTAAGACCGAATGCACGGATCCAATATAATGATGCACTTGAGATTTCTTTCTCCACTGTTTACGTTCACTTAAGACATAACCGACTGTGTTTACGAGTGTGTATGTGTTCATTCAGATGCAAGGATACGCGAAAGAGGAATCAATTCTGTGTACGCGCATTGTCTGCAACGCGGCTCTCTGTGCGCGCTTTGAATGCGCGTGAATGGTTTAAAACACTTGAATGTTTAAATCGGCAAGACTAACACGTGCAAACGATCAACTATGATCCGTTTTACCCCTACAAGCTAGTAAACAACGCAAATCAAGGAAGGAATTTAATTTCACTGTTCAAGATAGCCCGTCGGGCAGGACGGTGATACGTTTTGGTAGCCCGACTGGAAAACAATAGCCCCGGGACGTCGGGCTAGCGATTTTGCAAGCCCTGTGTATCTGAAGGGAACTGACTGTCTTCAGAAAAGTTTCAGTGACATTTTCTTTTTCATTTTACCTCCATATGATGTTTATGAGTGCTTTGAATCTGGGGGTAACCGCAGTATTTCTGCTTGTCCTCTGCTTGTTTTGATTAGTCATGTTTCGTCATATTTAACATGCACGCTCATTTATTAGGCTGAAATGTGAAGTTTATCATTTTATAAAACTAACTTTTGTCAAAACTTTTTATTTGAAATGTAACGTTCTTTAAATCATTGTTTTGTTTTTTGTTTGTTTGTTTGTTTTTTTACAGTCATTTTACAGTTTAGGATGTTAGCATGGATATTGTTGTTGTTTCAAAACAAAGTTGCTACCTAAACGACATGTAGTTCTATTCTGATATCAGAATTTTCACAAATGATTTCAGTTGCTGATTCCAGGAATTTATTTTAGAAGAAAAATGCCCCTCTGTCACCTTTGGCACATGTCCAGAGTTTGCAGGCATTCATTATAGACCCAACCGGCACCTTGATATCAGTTTGACGTCAAATATTATTCAAGTCTTGATCTCAAGATGCTGTAACATCATTTTAAATTCAGTTTGGACTGCAATTTCTTCCGGTGGTCATTGGGTGAAAATAGGAAGTTAATCCCACACTGAAACTGGTTTAATGTTTAATGTAGGACAATATGTTTGACCTAGATCAAATCAACATCATGTCAAGTTTTTGTCCGTTTGATTTGCATATTTGCCCTGTTTTTTGACGTCAATTTTGATGTCAGTTTGATGTCTTTCACTGTAAACCACGGCTTCACGGAGCTTATTGCTTTATTTTGGAGTTGTAAATTAAACAAAGATTACTAAGAAAATACAATTTCAGTTTTCCTACTGTACTTCAAAATTTCACGTTTAATTCAATGTGTTGCTTGCCGTTTCTTTGTAGTTATTTGTGAAACTTGCTAGGAATTTCTGAGTGGAAATAGTTCCGAGGTAAATCTTTTTCAGTGTGGTGATGAATACAGTAATAGTTTCTTCTGTGCTTCTCTCCATCAGGTCTGTCTCGCGCTAGGCGCTCTGATTCTGGTGGCAGGGTTATCCGTGCTGCTGGTGGGCTACGCCACGCCGCCTCGACTCGAAGCCTTCGGAGAAGACGAGCTGCTGTTCGTGGACGGCCGCGCGGTGCGCTTCAACCGGGCCCTGGACGCCTGTAAGCTGGCCGGAGCCGTGCTGTTCTGCGTGGGCGGCAGCGGGATGGCAGTGGGGCTGCTGCTGGCCGCCTGCTCTCAGGGCAGCTCCAAGGAAGAGCTCCGTCTGCAGCAGCGCTTCAAAGAGCGGCTCGCCGAGATCCAGGCCTCCGTTCAACCCGTCACCCGCGCTCCCACCCCGGGAGAGGCCAAGGTTCCCGTCACGCTCTCCAAAGTGCAGAGCGTCCAGCCCGGAGCGGAAACCTGACCTCTTAAGCATCCCACGCTTCCGTGCAAAACAAAACAACAGTTCCTGGAACAATAGAGATAGATAACACTGCACTGGCGCATATAATTCGTCTATATTGAGAGCACCGAGAGTATTTATGGTGATTAGCGTAAGCGTACCTTGTCGATCATCACTGGTGCTTCTGAATAAAGACATACAGCACAAATATACTCACGCGCTATGGCTAGGAATCAGAACAACTTTAGGCTGCTGATATTCTTCAGAGGCGCCAAAGCATGTGCGTATTAATACCGAATAAGCAAGAATAGTTTCTCTATTACAATGACCCCAAACACACCCCTCACTGTAATCGCAATTCCCATCGTGATACATGAGAAAAATCACTCGGTAAAACTCATAAACTAGCAGAACGGAGGCCTTACTAACACTGTCAACTACAATGATTTGTCATCGCTCGTTCAGAAAGCGTCACGTTGGTTCAATTTTTCTCCGAATCTCTCCTAGTGAAAGCTTCGTGCTCTATTGCTACAGTCAATCAATAGTTAGTTGACAGAACGCAATGTGTTCCAAGCCACAATACCGTGCATCCGTTCTGCTCAAACACATCATCGTCGGCGATATCAAGAGTGAAAATAGATTACGGTTAAGATGCGCCTGTGGGATTATGTCATGTCCTCTCTTTGTGTTGCACATCATTCTTGCTCCATCATTAGAGCTTTCCGTACGCTAGTGTTCTGCTGGAGATTTCTTTCTGTCGGCTTTTCTTGTTTCGTGTTTCTCTTTGGCTTCATGGCAGAGTCACTGCTGTGCTTTTGTTCTCTGTAACAATTATTTTGCGTAGGTATTTGCATCTTATTATTGTTATATTTTTACTTTGATTAGCGCAAATGTTGCATGATGACAATTCAGTGAAACTTTGTAAACTGCTTTCAAGAAGGTTGATAAAGAATGAAAAACCGTCGCCGTCGCTTCTTAGTGTAATATTTTGTGTTATTTATTGATTATGAATTATCATTGAACATACTGCATATGCATTCAGATGTTTGAAAACGCTGAGGCTTTCTAATGAACTTAGGATAATCGAAACTCTCAGACAGGCCTAAATGAAGTCTAAAAATGTTACATTTATAATATCAGCTGCTTCGAGAATTGATTCTTCTTGTTTAAACTGACATATATGGATGTGTTTTCAGAGGTGTGTTGATCACAAATGCTGGTAATCGTCTCAAACTGTCAAAGCTTCTGGTTTGGTCTGCTCTTGGGATGGAGACAGAACGTATCAGAGCTGTTCTTACTCTTGGAACGTCTATTTTTCAGCAAACAGAATAAAAATTACTGTTTGTTACCGTCTTTGTCTGTCAGTGGCTATTTCTTCCACTTGTTCACTTTAAATTTGATCATTTAAAAGCTATGAATTAATCACAGCACATCAAAATAGATCCCAAAGGCAAACAAAAAACTGTCATTTACACTCACGGTGTGCTGTAATACTATCAAAAAAATCATGATCCTTACCTTTATCTCTATATCAAAATCTCCGCTGGCCTCACATTGATTCATATATTTTGTATGAATCATTAAAATACTGTCATCCTGGACACCGTGAGCCCAGAGACTAGTGAAGATCGTGAGTTTTTAAAAGATTAGCTTTAAGTAAATAGTGCTCATAAAAGGCTGTCGTGATTTTATTCTCACTTGAAATCAAGTAGAGACTTGGACCTGGAAACAGTATTCATTAGGTGATGATAACAAGGTTCGGTCACATTAGTGAAAACCAAGCGTCTTTCTGTTGGTTAACTCTGTGAATTTGTGCGTCCAACTTGAACCTTATGCAAAATATGCATGTGGAAATATTTCTCTCTCACAGGAAATTGGTGATTGCGTGAATTCCTATAGATGCAGACACTTTAGAGAATTTTTCTGCTAAATTTTCTGGGCAAATAAGGTACTTTCTTCATTGTCAAGATGTTGCGACTCACAGCTCACACAGAAGTCACTCTTAACCCAAGCTGATTTCTATTGTCGAATTTACCTGACAACAGTTTGAATCTGATGTGAAATTTGCATGAAGAACCTTCAGTGCACAAGCAGCATTACAGATTGTGCAGAATTCTGTTGAAATGACTGGATTTTGCTGAACAACAGTAAATGTGACGTGCTTTAAGTGTAGTTCAAAAATAATGACACTTCGAAAAGATTGAGAATATTATAACTAAATATTAAAATAGTGAAAATACCATATTCTCACTCTCACACAGAAGCATCACCAGATTATCTATCAGCTGTGTGTGTGTGTGTGTGTGTGTGTGTGTGTGTCACTCACATTGAGATACAGTCAACAAAACGCAGCCAAATCAGTTAAACACTGATGGAAATGTTTTTAATAGGGTGATGACTTTACCTCTTGCTATTCAGTTTTTTCTCTCTCACCACAGAATTTTATTCACACACACACTTTTTTTTTTTTTTTAAATAAGAACGGTAAATGCAACATTTTCTCACAATTCAGACTTTTTCTTAAAATTGCAAGTGGATATCTTGCCATGCTGAAATAATATTTTGTAATTTCTCAAAATTGCTAGAAAAAAGACTGTATTTAGATATGTATTTAGTTTGCATGTAGCTTATCCTTCAGGACTGATGTTAAGTCAGTTGAAATGATAATATAACAATAATGACATGCACAACGGGAGCGACTGGAAGATGGATAGAAATCCATATATTTAACTTCCTTGACAAAAAGTATCTAAAATAAATATTTTAGCAAACATTACACCTATCGGCTTAGCAGACATTAGCACTGGAACTCATTTAGTTACCATATTTATGTTACTATATGGAAAATATTTATTTTCTCAAATCCTAACTGGCAAAATTAGCTGTTATTAAAGCTGTTCACAGTATTAGAATCTCAATACAATAAATTAATAATATGAATAAATTAGTAGTAATCAAAGTAATGAATCAGCCTCTAAAGGTTATAAACTTTCTGTCTTGTCACACAAAGAAGATATTTTGAAGAATGTTCTGGTCTCTCTTTTCCATCGTTTTCACGTTGTTATACAGAAAACAACAGCCAGAATATTTCCACGATACAGTTCTCCTTCTGTGCTCTGCAGGAGGCAGACAATCACACATGATGGCAGACGATCGTTTCTCGCTGAACTCCTTCAGGTTTTCATTCAGTATCTGCGGCTGCGTCCTCACTGGGATCTGGATTCTCCTCCGCCGGCTCTCCCTCCTTCTCTGTGTTCTCCTGGTTCTCCTCTTCATCTCCTCCTTCCTCTGGTTTCTCCTCTTCATCTCCTTCCTCTGGTTTCTCCTCTTCATCTCCTCCTTCCTCTGGTTTCTCCTCTTCATCTCCTCCTTCAGCTTCTTCGTCCTGCTTCTCTTCACTGTCATCATGTGCCTCTGGTTCTGATGCCTGTCCCTCTTCCATTATCTCTCCATCCTCTTCTTTCTTCTCTTCCTCTTTCTCATCCTCTTCTTTCTTCTCTTCCTCTTTCTCATCCTCTGCTTTCTTCTCTTCCTCTTCTTTCTTCTCTTCCTCTGTCTCATCCTCTGCTTTCTTCTCTTCCTCTTTCTCATCCTCTTCTTTCTTCTCTTCCTCTTCTTTCTTCTCTTCCTCTGTCTCATCCTCTGCTTTCTTCTCTTCCTCTTTCTCATCCTCTTCTTTCTTCTCTTCCTCTTTCTCTTCCTCTGGTTTCTTCTCTTCCTCTTTCTCATCCTCTGCTTTCTTCTCTTCTTCTCCGTCACACGGTGATTCTTCTGTGTTTTGGGCCGCTTCACCTTCTGCTTTGGTTGAGTCGTCTATATCAGGACTGGCCTCCTCTGACTCCTTAATAAAACAACATCACAGATCAGTGTGTGACACCCTGCTGCATATATGTGGATACCTTGATACACTGACATTCAGAAAAGAAAAAAAAAGTTTTATTCAGATGCATTAAATTTATCAAAAGTGACAGTAAAGACATTTATAATGTTACAAATTTCAAATAAATGCTGTTCTTTTGAACTTTCTATTCATATGTGAATCCTGAAAAATAAAATGTATCACAGTTTCCACAAAAATATTGTGCAGCACAACTGTTTTCAACATTGATAATAATCATACATGTTTATTGAGCAGCAAATCAGCATATTAGAATGATTTCTGAAGATCATGTGACACTGAAGACTGGAGGAATGATGCAGAAAATTCAGCTGCGCATCACAGAAATAAATTACTGTTTAACAGATATTCACATAGAAAACAGCTATTTTACATCGTAATAACTTTTCACTGTTTTTACTGTATTTTCGATCAAATAAATGATTAAAATTAATCCAAACTTTGGCCGCATACATATATATACACTTTTCAGTGTAGCTGTGTCCAAACATTTGACTGCATTGTTTTAGACACACGTCCTCACTATTTTAACACTCTTACTAGACAGCCAGAAGCCCAATCTACAGTTACTCAGAAATCAGCCGCCTGTGTTAGAGATCACGATGAGGCTCGAGCTCCTCACCTGCTGGACCAGTGAGGATTTCTCATCTCCTGCTCTTCTGTCCTCTCCGTCATCTGTACAAACACACACAGCACAGCAAACATGAGACGCCAGCGCCATCCATGGGTCAGGATTCACACTACAGCTCAGCGCTGGATTCACATTCACACACTGACCATCTGATCTCACATCACCCAAATCCTGATTCAATGCTTCAGTTACGGACACACAGAGAAACGGCAGAGAAAAGTTTCCAACTGCTAATAAAGACATCAAAAGATTAAAAAAAAAAATTAAATCAAGAAATTGATATAACTAAAGACAGGACAAACTAACAAAAACATAAAAACAACTGCGGAGCACGCCACAGAGGCAGCCATCAACGTCGGCGCCATCGCGAAGAATATGATTACATTAAAAAAAAATCTGTGGTTTTATTGATGAAATAAACAATGATCCATATGATCATAGACTAGTGTAGACTCAAATTCACATTTCAAAAATGGTAAATTCAGTCAAACGAGCATGTATGTACATCACACTCTTATGAAAACCTCTCATGAATTAATTAGAGTCGCTGTTAAAATGACCATTAGCTTTCGACGCTTCTGTGTAATTATTTTTGCGAGATTTACAGTCATACCATTGTACTCGCTAGTAAACAAGAAAATTACACAAGTGTTTTAAATACTTAATGAGTAATAAATCCAAAGATTGTGTGTGAAATCAATACACTCTGAATAATTAAACCGCAGAATTGATGCACCTCATATAAGTTCACGCTTTCCCCAACAGCGGCTATAAAAATATTGCTGTGCAGATGATAGCGTTTTACCCAGGCATTTAATGCGTTTCAAATGCAAAACTGATTGAAGTTTAGCAGCGGAGATGAGCCGGCGTAGCAATAATGGGCTTCTTTGAATATTTTATGGAAATCGTTCACATTTATTAACTGTAGTCCAAAAGCCTGACTGTGAGCAGGAGCGCTAATGTAACAATAAACAGTTCAATGTGATTGAGAGAAGGGCTCGTCTCATAAAAATGCTAAATCAAATTAAATACAGCATTTTAAAGCCTGCCTTCATTAAGGAGGGTGACTGCATAAAGCCCGACTCCATTTCCAGTTAGCAGCCTTTATTTCTCTGCCAATTAAATACTGCTTCTCTTCACTCGTGTTTTCTCGTGTCTGTGTCACTGTGCAATGCAAAAGCAACTAAGAACTGTTGAATAACTGCAAATACGAAATGCAGTTCAGTATGCAAATATTATATTCGCATCAGGAGAGGTTCAAAAACACCTGTAAACAAAAATAATCCATGACCATCACCATACTTCCCTAGCTGACTGATTACATTACAATAACTGCAAACATTTTTTGTATCACATGTTGGTAACACTTTAGTTTAGGGTCCAATTCTCACTATTAACTAGTTGCTTATTAGCATGCATATTACAAGAATAGTGGCTGTTTGTTAGTACTTACAAAGCACATATTAATGCCTTATTCTGCATGACCATACACTCTAAAGAAAAATGGTGCTAAATAGCACTAAAAGTGGTTCATTGGCTGGTACTCATAGGGGAAGCACTTTAAGTGCTCTTCAGCAGCTGTGTTTAAAGGTGTTAAACAGCACCGTAAGAGGAGCCACATTCGTCCCTCAGATTTGAGATGTCACTCCACTCTCATATGTTTGCTATGAATGGGAATTTACTACGATGCCAAAAGCTGTTTTGAATCACTTGTATGCTCTTCAGAGGTCGGAAAGTCTCATGTGGGGTCTGGAATATTTCCAATTTAAGGTTGAGAA